TTTGGCAGGAACAGTTGACTTGGCCTGCGGCTTCTTGTGCGTTTTTTGCAACTATGCAATACAAAAAAAAAAAAACGCATAAGAAAAACGCATATTGGCGAGGGGTTGTCTGTGTGTCTGTGCGTCTGTGTGTCCGTGTGTGCGTTTGTCACGGTTTTTCATCTCAAGACCCACAAAAGCTACAGGGCTGAAACTTTGGGAACTTAATCTACATGCACGTGCCAGCTCCAATCCCCAAAATGGGCGCCATCACCCGCGTGGTACCCGCGTATAGACCCGCCAAAGTTTTTTTTGTATAAGTTGATAACTCGGGGATTTGAGAAGCTAGAACGCTGAAATCTTAGGGGAATGTTCGCCGTCCAAGTGGGTATTAACGAGTTCAAACCTAGCCCGCGTAAGCGTGGTACTTACGTGCGGGCCCGTGAAAGTTTCTTCCGGATAAGTTGCTAACTCGAGAACGTGAGGGTCTAGAAGGCTGGAATTTTGAAGGGATGTTTCCCGACAGTTCTAGCGGCCAGTCTGAAATTCTTTAAGCTAGAAGCATCTGCCGGGAGAACCAATGCCGTTAGTGACAAAAATATATGGGGAGCTACGCAAAAACACATCTTCGCACGAGCAGCCCTTGTGTTGACCAATTATTTTGTGAACTTTTAAATGCATCGTTGTTGTTTTCTGTTTACTATTATCATTGGCGGTGCTTGACACATTTCACTGTTTAAAAGCAACAAAAAAATTATCACTCTTTCCAGTGCTTAGTGCTCATGCCTCTCTCTTTGGCTATGTTTCAATGTTCCGTTAACTTTAGTGCTTCCCCCAAGTGTACTGTTGCTTGCAGATGCAAAAATGCCTGGGGAACGCTTCGCGTATTCTGCGAAATCCGGAGCCCGGTGATATTTGCATCGTGGAGTGCGAAGGGCAATTGTTTCGCGGTGAAGTGATTGACAAGGTGGACAGGGAGAACGCATTCGTTGTGCGTTATGTTGATTATGGGGACGAGCAGTGCTTTAATGCTAAGTTACTTTATTCAGTTGATGGCGAAGTTCAGGTGATTTCTTCTTCTTAATCCTTTATTTCTGTTCAAGACAACGATTCGTCTGTGGAAAGCACTGTACTAATGTGTCCAAGCTATTCCCAGAAAGAAGTGCCGCTTTAAACGCTATGAAATCATCCTTTTCTCCACTCTGGTGCTAATGCCTAGAGTACACAATTAGGGAAAGGAACTGTGAAATGTCAAAATGCTAAGAAATTAGCTAAAATAACAAATCTTTATCAAAAGAGCTCGAAGTTTAACCAAAAAAAAATTGATTCTTCCGAATCGTATTCAGAACTAAAAAGGGTGTTGTTCTGGGAAAGGATGGCAGTTTTAATCAGGCCTGGCTAGGTTGGCAAGGAGAGTTTTCTGTTTACTGGAAGTAGCTTGCAGTCATTTGCTGGAAAACAGTGGTGATGTGGGCTGTTTCTATTATATTTCTAATCCGTGCGCCGCTGATTCGGTACATTCACAGCCTCTGAAGATGCAGCTGCTCTCAATGTCTTTAGAGGGAGTAGTTTCCGGTGGTAACGCTGGCTGTTATTTCAGAGTGTGTTGGAAACGCCAATGTTTGGTATGAGGTGTCGGCTGGAAGGCATTTGTCCGGCTGGCAGTGGCTTGAATGTGCATACCAATGCCTGGTCGCGCAAAGCACTCAAATTGATCAACTCTGTCATTCCTCTGAACAAAAACTTCGCCGCATTCGTTGGTCCTCCGGATGCCGATGGCGTTCATCCAATCCGAGTAAATCTCTTCCCGTTTTTTGATGACTTCTGAATTCAGCCCGAGCATAGCTGCTGTTGCTCTTGTCATGAATTTTTCAGGTTGTTGTTGACGAGCAAATTTTTCAAACCAGTGATTTGGCTACACTGTTGGTGCAGAAGAAGTTAGCTGCTTATGAATTTGACGATTGCATGACTACTGCAGGCAACCTTTTGTTCAGTGGCAGATCACTGCGTTGTCTCGAAGCGAAATTTCTCAACGTCGAAGGGGACATCATCTATGGGCTTCCATACAGCTTTGAAGCGTCGCTTCGCCAATGCAAAAGTTATCTCGAACAGGTTGGTCTCTCAGTTGTTGATCTCTCAGTTTGCACTTTTGTCACTATATCGCGACCCTAATTGTTATTTTATTTAGACTAGTGAGTACCCCGTGGGTAGGTGCGTGT